GCCCTCTTGTCAACGGGGCTGCTGGTTTGGATGCCGACTCTATCGTCTTGGTCAGTCTGGGAAGAACCCCAGCGCGTGGATCGAGTGGGTAAAAGGCAAGCCGATCCAGGAGGATGGGACCCCTCATGGACGCTTCGGACAAGCTCCAGGTTCGGTGGGAGACAGGGAGCGCCCAGGGAGCTGGGCGGTTGGAATTCTCTCCTTAGCGAAGCGTGCTAATGAAATGACACAAAGCTTCTCCTCTCCGAAGTATTCCTTGGGACTGCGAGTGCATAGAAAGGAAGGAATCTGTGCGTTCCAGGGTGACGTCTCCTGGCGCTCTGCCCGTGTTCTTCTCTATTGATTCCACGTCGAGCCAAGAGGCTGTGGACAACAGCGGCAGCGACAGTGATAATAGCAACATCAGAAGCAGGAATACCCCATAGTGCCTGAGTGCATCCTGATAGATTCCTAGCTCATATAATCCTCCCACTGCGCTACTGGGTAGGTAGCCTGAGGCTCAAGGTCACATAGCTCCCGACGCCGGTTTGCCGAGGGAAGAGAGATGCTCTTTCTTGCTGTCTGCCCACGTCCTCCTGGGTGTTTTCCTGTCTCATTGTGAGGTTCCTCCATCTAGTGAGAGAGAGAGCGAGAGCGAGAGAGAGAGAGAGAGAGCGAGAATGAGCAAGCTCGGATGAGCTTGTGTCTTTGAAACTCCCAGAGTCTGGCCTGGCCATCTATTTATCTCGGACGTAAGGGATTAGGAAAGACGGGGAGTTATTTTCCTTGGTACATCTCAAGCATCCGGGAGGAAATTTCAGCCTGCCCACCTGCTTTCTGGGTTTAGGACCAACTCACAGTTGGAGCATAGTGTGGGAGGGGCTTCCCCACCTCTTTGGCATTTAGCTGCCCCCTGCCCCCTTCTGCTGGCTCATTAGTACCCACAGCCCCTCCAGGCCGGGCTCTCTTTGCCCGCAGCTGCTAACAGCTGTTTTTCCTTCCCAGAGTCTTGACAAACAATACCCCCGGTCACAAAGAGGAATATTTATAACCGATGGAAAGCACAAACAAGTATTTGACTGCCATATTAACATTTTGGGGACCCCTAGAGCTCCCTTCTTCAAAATATCATCTGCTGGGTTTTTTTTTTCTGCTTTTAAAGGCCATTCATTTGGTTATATCATCTGTTTCCAGAAATCGTATTCAGAAAAGCATAACGAAAAAAATGGAAGTCACTTATAACCCTACCGCTTAAAGATGGTCATGGTGAACCCTTTGACTTAAATCTTTTCAGCTGTTTAGAGTTTACAGGCACGCTTTTTTTTTTTAAGTTTGTACCAAACTGTTTGTACTGCTTTCTTATCTTTTTAAAGATGGTCTCCTGAATGTTTTCTTACGCTCTCAAATACTCCTCAAGAACATTCCTTTTTAACGTAGAGAGGATTCCACATCATGAATGTTCCCTATTTGGGGACATTTAGTGTATTTGGACTGTTTTTCCTCTGCAAAATACACGTGCATCTCTGAACATTCCCTTAGAATAACATCAAAGCTTGTAAACAATTTGTAAAGGCAGATTCCCCCCTTGGAAATGTTATGCCTTTTTATTCTTTGATAAACAGAGAGATGTTTCTGTGAGCTCTAAGTAATACTGGGCGCTGATCTTGTAAGAGGGCTCGAATGTTTGGGGGAGAGTGCCGTCCTGTTTTGTCCTTCCCCACTAAGCGGGGCAGATATGTGACCCCTTGCTGCGCCCTGGCCACCTTCACCCCCAGGAAGCGCTGCTCGGCAGTCACGACTACCTTCCCCCCAGCCACAGACTTCAGAATCCTCCTTAACACGGGTACAGGCAGCTACGAGCCACGCGAGTTGACACAAGAGCCCGAACCTATTTGCCATCTGTGGGTCAAGGATTGACGCCTATTCCGAAGAGGCGTGCAGAGTGCTCGGTTTCATTCATTCCTGGAGAATGGGCTGGGGGTGCGGAAGCACCTGCACAGATTGGTTTTGGAAGCACCGTGTGCCGAATTTCAGTAGGCATCTCGAGCAAGACCAAAATCTACAAGGCACCTGGGGTGGCTCCGTTGCTTGAGCATCCAACTTCCAGATCTCACAGTTTGTGAGTTCGAGCCCCACGTCGGGCTCCGCGCTGACAGCACGGAGCCTGCTCGGGATTCCCTCTCTCTCTCCTCCTCGTGCTCCAAATAAAGAAAGTTAAAACAAAGGAAGATGTGAAACAATTAGGGTTTGTTTGGAAGTATGCCAGCCTTTCCGTATCCACCCCGATTCGAAGGGTGTCAGTTGAGAGGTGCACTCTGTGTTCTTCGTGTTTCCGTGGGTTACTCTCCAGGCGCAAGCCCTTTATCAAGTAAGAGAACAGTCGTGGGCTGATGGTGGGCAAGACGTTTATGGCATTTGCCGGGCACAGCTTAGTGTTCTGTGTCTCCTTACAGCTTTCACTTCGGATCCCTCGCGCTAGTGTCTTTGTCTTTACGCGTGAAGTTTAGGGATGGTCGCGTATGTGCTCTGCAATTGACCTGTCTAGCGTGGCGTCGCCTTGCCCAGGAAGGAGCGCTAGAAAAACCCGAGAGCTACAAAACTGCTGTCTAAACGTGGTCACGGTGCAGCCCCATGTGGGTAATTCGATTTGTCAGACGGTGAGCCCTGAGCAGCAGAGGACCCTGCTTTTTCCTGGACTTAACGGCATTAGAAACACAGCTGCCTGTGCATCACGGGCAGTTCTGTCTGGAAGGCCCGCCCCCTGTCACTCTGCTGAGACACCTAGCTACGCACCTTGGTCGCTGCACCTCGGCTGGCTAGGGTCGCCTCCCAGTGGGAAGCGTTTATCCCCACCCGGTCCCCCTCCTCCTCCTCGGTGCTTAGGCAGCTGGTGCACACGGCTGGGATGAACACTTAGGGCACTACGCTTGGTCGTGTGCTTGCGTAGGAAGGCAGCCACCTGGGGCATGGAAGCAGCTTGGGCTCCTACTCAAGCTCCGACCTTGAACAGTTGCTCCAAGCCCTGGGCCTCCGCTTACACATCTGTAGAACTTCCCTTAGAAATGAGATGCCTGCGCTGTTGGTGGGAACGCAAACTGGTGCAGCCGCTCTGGAAAACAACGTGGAGGTTCCTTACAAAATTAAAAATAGATCTACCCTATGACCCAGCGGGAGCACCGCTGGGACTTTATCCAAGGGACACAGGAGTGCTGATGCATAGGGGCACGTATACCCCAATGTCTATAGCAGCGCTTTCAACAATAGCCAAATGACGGAAAGAGCCCAAATGTCCATCGACTGACGAGTGGATAAAGAAGATATGGTTTCTATATACGATGGAATACTACTCGGCCATGAGAAAGAATGAAGTCCTGCCATTTGTAGCAACGTGGATGGCACTGGAAGGTGTTAGGCTAAGTGAAATAAGTCAGGCAGAGAAAGACAGATGCCACGTTTTCACTCGTATGGGGGACTTGAGAAACTTCACAGAAGACCATGGGGGAAGGGAAGGGGAAAAAATAGTTACCAACAGAGAGGGAGGGAGGCAAATACAGAGAACATGCTGAGGGTTGATGGGGAGGTGGGGGGGAGGGGAAAATGGGTGATGGGCATGGAGGAGGGCACTTGTTGGGAGAAGCACTGGGTGTTGTATGGAAGTGATGAATCACGGGAGTCTACCCCCCAAACCAAGAGCAAACTGTACATCCTGTATGTTAGCCAACTTGACAATGAATTATATTAAAAGGAAAAGAAGAAAGAAAGAAATCTGGTGCCTGCGTACATTAAAGCCCTAATGGAGCCCTAGGCACAGCATCACCTACACACACACACAATCAAGGTTAGTGTCCCCTCCCCACACTGGACGCCCCAAACTTAGGTACCTCGTGAAATTAAAGAATGTACCTCAGGGGCGCCGGGATGGCTCAGTCGGTTAAGCGTCCGACTTCCGCTCAGGTCGTGATCTCGCGGTCCGTGGGTTCGAGCCCCGCGTCGGGCTCTGTGCTGACAGCTTAGAGCCTGGAGCCTGTTTCCGATTCTGTGTCTCCCTCTCTGTCTGCCCCTCCCCTGTTCATGCTCTGTCTCTCTGTCTCAAAAATAAATAAATGTTAAAATTTTTTTTTTAAAGAAAGTACCTCAGTGGCTCCCTTCCTGAAGGAGTTATCAGGCCTTTGTCCAACTCTAATGGATCTGTCGGGCACAGAACAACACACTGTGGGTTTCCACTCTCAGGTTCTTTGATGCGGTGGCCAGGGGCTAAGTGGCAGTCACCCCTGTGTCTTCCTCAAAGAGCAGGTGTTTCTTCACCATCCCTGAATTCTTTGGAATTCAAGTCTCAGCTGGTTCTTTCTGCTGGCCAGAAGCTGGTCCCCAGGACTGATTCAGTGACAGCCTGACTCTCCCAAATGAAGAGTGCCTCTCTTGCCCTGGAGCTCTGTCTCGTCCAAGGGTATTTTGTTGACGTTGACGGCTGCCATTTTGCAACGTCCTGAAGCTGCGTTAACTTGAGCAGACAGCCGGGGGCCTCGCTGATCTGAGCTGGGCTGTGACTCTGGGCGGTGTCTGTGAGTGCCTGGTCCCACCCAAACCCAGAAGGGAAAAGGAGGTCTCGGTGACACCCCAGCAAATGTTATTCAGCCAGCCAGCTCTTACTGGGATCCAGTAATGGGATTCTGGAAAATAAGTAAAATGAGCCCCTACACTTGTGAGGCTTGTGTCCTTGCTAACGCTGGGGGGGTCAGATCACAGGTGGGCAGCCTGGGGGGAGGCTGCTGGCTTCCTCTCCCTCGTTTCTATAGAGGCGTCTGCTATTGTCAGCTGTGTGTGTTGGGGCTATGAGGTCGTGTGGTGGGGGGGCACTGATACTGGACGAATCTTCCGGCAAGATTTACCACAGTGCGGTGGTCAGGGGCATGGACTCAGGCTGGGCCACCAGGGGTGGATTCTGGTCCTGCCCTTTGCTGGTTGTGTGACCTCAGGCAAGTCCCTTAACCTGTCTGTGACTCAGTTTCCTCATTGGATACATGGAGGTTAGTAGCGGTGCACGTGTCTCCGAGTTATCATCAAGGAGGAAGGGAGTCAAGCTGTCATTTATAAAGCAGAACACATATACAGCATAAGTGCCATATACACGTATGCTGAATAAAATACGTAAACGTTCTTTTATGTTCACTGAGCAATAAATAACATACCCGGCCCAGCTACACTTGTGGAACGGGGCTCTGGATGTGTGACCCTGAGAAAGGAAAGGCTCTAGGAAGAAAAAGGATAGGAGCCTGAAGGCCAGAACCGCCCCCAACTCAGTAACCATAACATTGACCTCCTCTGGTTCCTTGCTTCCTCTTGGGGAGGTGAGGCTGCAGGTGGCTGGTGGGACGGGGCCAGCCTCTCCCCATAGTCCACTGGATGCGGAGGTCGGCACCTCCCTCCACCGGCTTGACTCGGTGAGTCACAGCATGAATGTGGGCCCTCTCTCAGGCTTCCCGGCCAGCTTGGCCAGGATGTGCTTCTTTCTTGCCTGGTCCCTGGTCCCTGGTCCCTTGCCTTCTCTCTCCCGGGGCCTGGAGGGCTGTGCAGGGCATTAGAGGGATGCAGTTAGGGTGCGGAGATAAAGCCCCTCCGGCCTGCCTGCCTTCTTCTTGGCCCAGCTGTGCCGAGACAAGCGCCTGGTCCCATCCTCCACGCACAGGGTGCCATGGGTGTCCCCGAGTACTAGAAAGGAGGATGAGGACTCCACCGGAAGCCTTTGCTCTCCCTCCTCCCTCCACACCCCAGCGATCCTGCAGTCCTGCACTCGGGTGCCCCCGGGGGACACAGGCACGCAGAGCAAATACAGACGCTTGGTGGAGGGAGACAAGGAGCATGGCCTGGGGTCCACACACCTGTGCTGGGCTGTGAAAGGAGGCAGTGGGTGGCACCAGCGATGCCAAGCCAGGAGGGGAGGTGCCCGAGAGTCAGCTGCCGGCGGCGGGGAGGGTGACCACCCCCTGTGTCCTAATAGGTTTTTCTAGGGAGGGAGTCCAGCCCAGTCCCACGCAGTGGCCTCTGATGTTCCTCATTGACCTAACCACCGTCATGTCAACACAGACCCTTGTCACTGCTGCTTCTGAAGCAGGGCTCCTGAGCCCCAGAGCAGAGGTCCAGGCCCCGCCTCCTGATGCCACCGACTGGGTTCAGGATGCAGTGTGGCCTGTACCTTCTCTTTCGGGTTGGAAAGGGCCAGACCCTTTCTGGGGCCTCCCAGAGCCTTCTGGCCTCTTCACCGACTCTCTCATTCCCTCTGGCCCGTGGCGAAGCCATCGCAGAGGTCATGATGGGCCTGTGCTGGTTGCTTTTTGTCCCCTTCCTTGGGCTCCCAGTATTTTTTTAAAATACTAAGACTGGTTTGCAAACATGGCACATTTTATGTTGCCCGGCCCAGTCTGTGCATCTCCGTAACTCTGTGTTTAATCTCTCTTGTAGATAGGCACAAAGGGCTAAACCCAGCGTCTTGAGGAACGTAAGGTGTGGACGAGGGGGTCCCGCCCGAATCCCTACTCCCTCTTCAGGCACACGCATGCGCGCACGCACGGGATGGTCCTGCCCATACCTCAGGCTGTCTGCAAAGGGTCCCTGGCCCTACATCCAGCACACGCATTGTGGATCCGACCCCTTGTCTTGTCTACTCTCCCGCAGCATGTTCTAGTGAGCACCTCGGTGCCCTTGACCTTCTATGTGAGCTGCAGGATGCTGCTGTTGACCTTGAGACCTGGAGGGTCATTAGCCTTTGAACACATTCCCTTTTCCCTGGCTCACTCAGCACACCTCAGTGGGCCAGACACTGTTCTAGGCGCCTAAGACCCAACAGGGAACCCAACAGACAAAACTCCCATCCGTGTGGACCTTCCACAAACCCCCTCTGGACCTCTCCCAAGGGATTCGCCATCAGTGATAAAATCCCTATGACTTCCTCCAAAATTATCCAGGATTTCCTGTTTGCGCTCCGGCAGCCGGACCCATTGGCGGTGCGTCTGCTCTGCTGGGCCCTGTCGTCCCCATCGCTGCTCGTTTTGGAAGCGGGGGGGGGGCGTGCGTGGTGCCTCAGCTCAGAGTTCCTTCTAAGAATTTATTTCAGCCAAAGAAAGAAACTCCCAAGTCCATATATATTTAAATAGCCTCCTTTTCAGCTCCTGTCCTGTCTCGCCACAGCCTCTGTCCTCCTTCCTGGGCCGGCCCTCTGCCTCCCCTCACCCTCCCCAGGTCAGAACTGCATCACGCGCCTGGGAAATTGGAAGCAACCACAACGCCAGGAAGACTCAGCCGTCTGGGGAGTCCACGCCCACGTGTGTGGGTTGCGCCTGGCAGGGGGAAGAGACTGTCGGCTCCTTCATTCACCAGCCGGGGTGACCTGGGGCAAGACTCTTGCTTCCGCGGCTGCAGAGCGGGCGTCCCAGAGCCTCTTGGGTTGACCCCCGTGAGAATCAAGTGTGGTCAGCTAACTGCTTGTTGTGGTGCTTTATGCACAGAAGACCCTCTGTGAGGGACACCAGAGTTTTCTATATGCCATCAGCTGCATGGCTTGGAATACACTTCTTGAAGCCTAGGGGGACTGTCCACGCTTTTCATCGTTCGCGCTCTCCCGGAGTGCCCGGGGCGCGGTCCCTTTCTCTTGCCTGCCTCGGAGGAACATGCACCGTGATGCTGCGTGGGACTGGCCAGGGCGGGCAGCAAGCTGGGGACACCCGTGGGCTCAGCGGGCGCCCAGTGCGCGGGAGGAGGAAGGTCTGGAGAAGGAGCCTGAGGAAGAAACAGCACCCAGGCACATGGAAACTGGCCATGAACCTGGTTTGGTTGGGCATGAAGAACCAAGGTGGGTGTCCTTGGCACAGCGGGAAGCAGGGGAAGCAAGAAAAAGCTGTGAGGTCACGGAGGAAATGAGCAAATTCTCTGGGTGGCCCGTCCCCGCTGGCCACTGCGCGTGACACGGGGCCTTTGAGGTGGGGCCGGCCCCAGACGGTGGCCCTGTAGCTCCTCAGCTCCCCGTCCCCTCCCCATCGTGTACTTCCCAAGCGGGAGACAAAAATCCTGCCACCCTTTCTGTCTCCAAGCAGAGGCTTTAAAAATACAGCCTCCTGTGAAAAATAGACACGGCGTCTAAATGAACTATCAACTGTGGTAGCTAAGGCTGCTCTTCTGTAATAGCCATCTGGTAAGTCAGCTCTGGGAAGTGGGACAGGAGCCGGGGGTAGGGGACTGGCGGATGCTGTCGGGCATGTGATCAGATCCATCACTGGGCATCTCAGCCTCTTGCTGGGCGTCCTCCCTCTCCGTCCGCACCCTGACTGTGAACCTCCTGGTACCGTTCTCTTCGTCTTCGCTCTACCAACACGGAGACGGTGGGTCGCCGAGGACTATAGACCGAACGTTTGCGTGGCCCCCGGAACTCCCACCCTGTCCCCAACACGAGGGTATGAGGAGGTGGGCCTGTGGGAGGCGCCTAGATCATGAGGGTGGGGTCTCATGGTGGGATTAGTGTGTCTTAGGAAAGAGACCCCAGAGATCTCCCTGGACCTCCCCTGCACGGAAACACAGCGAGAAGACCCTTGTGAACCAGGGAGTGGCCTTCTCCAGACACCACGTCTGTCAACACCGTGATCTTGGCCTTCACCTCCAGAACCGTGGGAAGTAAACTGCTGTCCTTCAAGCCGCCCGTCCCACGTGCACTAAGATGAAGTGATGAAGCACCTTGCCCAAGGTCACGCGCCTCGTGCGTCACGGAGCTGGAGCCCAGTCCCAGGTCATCGACTCTGCTGGCCGGCAACTATTTCCGAACTGTGATAGGTGACTTTTACATAATTACTTACATTCCTCGGAATACTTCCGTCGTTGGCTCTACCGTTTCATCGGTCTTGGAAGGGGGAGGAGGAGAGGCACCCGTGAGGAACTGAAACCCAAAGAAACTGGAGTTTCACAGAGGCTCGATTAGACAGGGAGAGAGCCGGGAACAGAACCAGCTCCCTCCCGCCCCCAACCCCAGCCGCGGCCAACTCCGCCTCTCATCCTTAACGGCCACCTACCTCTCCCCGCTATGCTTTAGCTCAGCACGAAGGAAAAGTGAAATCTGTGCTTTGGGTGGGGAAGTGTCCTAGTGGAGAAGCCTGGTCCGGGGGCACAGGGGATGCGCGTGGTCCTGGGCGTGGGGTCTGAGCCTGGACCGGCTGTTCTCACAGGCCGCACGGACTCTTAGCCGTGGGAGGACTCACGGACTCCTGGATGCCACGGAGTAGCCCCGTCACCTGGCCTTTAGGCTACTGCCACTAAGGGAGTCACATTCGCAATGAAGCTTTGCGACTGGCAGCGTTCGTTCCTTCCTTCGACACCTGAGCTGTTGGTCGGGGTCACAGCCCCTCCCGTGTTGTCACCTTGCTGCTTACATCAAAACCGGATGCGGCGGGAGCAGCAGAAGTTCCCTGTTCTGCCCGTCCAAGCGCGTGTGACCTGATCTCCGTTCGCTGACAAAGTCCAGAGAACAGTCTGTGTGCGTGACCTGAAATGTAAACGACCAGAGCTCCAGAGAGAGAGGACCCTGGGGTCGGGGGGGGGGGGGTCTGCAGGCCCAGGCGAGAGCGGATCCGTTCGGTTCCAGCTGCTCCCTGTTAGCTCAGTGCACGTGGAGATGGTCAGGGTCCCTCCCCACCCCACCCCACCCCCCCGCCCCCCACTGCAGGTGGCAGGCCCTTGAGCTGGCCGTCACACATAGATGAAGACTATTCACCTTACACAGTCGTGTAAGACTGTTCCTTATAGGTGTATGGGTGCCTCGTTCTTGAAGTTGGGCTGTCTTGAAAATCCGTTATATGTCAGGCGTGGGTGCGTGCCCCCCCCTTCTCTGCAAAGCAGTTCTTTGTCACGTGACATCTGGTCAGGGGCGTAGCTTTAACATCGCCAACACATTAGCCCTCTTCTACGAGAACTACTCCTGTGAACGGCGTCACCTCAGGCGTCCCATTCCAGAATTGTCTCTGTGTTGCCGGTGTCTTCTCCCGCCACTGGGCTGGATTAACATGAGGGAGACCACGCATGGGCACACGCGTGCATGTGCACACACACGCACACACACACGGCTTGCCCTTCCGTGCTCCTGACAAGGAAGCCTTGCAAGCGATAAGTTGCGTGACTGATGCCGTACTTCGGTTTCCTGGCCAGGTTTCTGCATGTTTTCTAAAGGCCCTGGAGAGCGGCGAGGAGTCTCATGTGTCCTCCGGTTGGAAGGAACCATTTCGAGGACTTAACGCTCATCTGAGCCTGTGTTGGTATTTCGTGGGTAAGCGTCGCAGGTCGGTCACACCTAAACCAAAACAGGAGCTGGACGCGGCTCCCAGCTGCCCGGTGAGACAGGTGTGCGTTACCCCATCGGGCCACACGGATGAGGGGTCGAGCCCTGGGGAGGTCAGGAACACGGCCTGGACTCCTACCCAAGGCTCCCGCCCCTGTGTGGACATTCCTTGATCTGGCTGCGAATCGAATTTGTTCCCGGTCACGTAGCCATGAGCCATGAGGTTAAACAAGGAAGGAAGCCTTGGAGGTCTTGAGTGGCCGTGTGGCTGGATTCTGCAGCCGAGACTCGGGCCTCGGCAGCTTGGCAGACAGACAGCTCGTCAGACAGACAGCTTGTCCTGCACGTCAGCCACGGGCGGAGGGAGGAAGGAGAGAAACGGAGAAGACAGGAGGATTGGTTCAGCCCAAGAAAAAGGCCCAGCTGCAGCCGGTGCTGAGCACAATAGCTTGGCTATTTCCTACGTTACCTTTTTACAGAATGTAATATCTTGATTTTTTTTTTTCACATCTCAGCTGAGAGGAATATTTTTGTGATCGCACAGGATGTTCTTTTATATTTTTATATCTGCTTGATTTTGCCTGGGGAGAATCATTTTGTTATTTTATTATTTATTTTATTAAACATTTTAATGTTTATTTTTGAGAGAGAGAGAGAGACAGAGAGAGACAGTGTGAGCGGGGCAGAGGCAGAGAGAGAGAGAGAGAGAGAGGGAGACACAGAATCCGAAGCAGGCTCCAGCCTCCGAGCCGTCAGCCCGTAGCCCGACTCGGGGCTGGAACTCAACGAACTGCGAGATTGTGACCTGAGCCGAAGTCGGCCGCTCAACCGACAGAGCCACCCAGGCGCCCCTCATTTTGTTATTTTAAGCCCTTAATTCAGAATACGAAGGGATCCATATCTGTGTCACAAAGCTGCAGACGATTGCTGCCCCACGATGCCAGTTGATGCAAAATGCCCTTCACATCTCAAAATGACTGCTTTTGTCCCTGGAAGGTTGGACTTGAGAAAACCACACTTTCCTTCCAGACGGTGTGAAGGAGGGGATCAGGGCCACATGTGGCTGTGGCTGTGAAGCGGGCACCGTGAAAGCGGGCGGCGGTCGCTCCTGCGGGACCCTCACACCAAACGGGGCTCGTGGCGGACCGGCCAGGACGGGCCACGGCCTGTGGCTTTCATTCCCTCCGTGGTGGTTCTTACCCCCACTGGCCGGGGAAGGAAACCAAGATGCAGAGAGGTTACGTGGCCTGGCCACGGTCACGTAACCAGCAGCTGCAGACCCCGGCCACGTAGGCTTCCGCCTCCGCACAGATATTTCTGGCTGTCCTTACCTTTTTTATCAGACGTCGACATGGGCTGCTGTCCACGAAACCGGATCCCTTCCATGGGGCTCAGCAAAGAGGCCCTTCCTCCTGCGTGGGCCGTGGAATCGGCCCTCCCCACTCAACCACTCTATCCACCTTGTCAGCGGGGGCATCCGGCATACCGTGGGCCGGGCTTAGAGCGCTGCAACCGGCGGCCTTTACCTCGGCCGTCACACTGCGGCCGGGTCAGAGGGCGGGACCGCAGAGGCGGACCAGAACTGGTGTGTAAGTCCCTAACCGAACAACCGTGGCCTATGATAAATGCAGGAAGGAAGTGCAGTCTGGATGGGGATGGGCAGGACCGGCTCTCTGCTTGTGGTTGGGG